CTGACTTCCATTTTCTTCGTTTACAAGCAGGCTGCATACTTAGCCTGTAAACTCTGGCACTATTTTCAGACAAATATCAATTTTCGTAACAGACGACATCGTCCATTTCCATGTTAATTTTCCTAAGAGAAGCCCAGACCCACAACTATTCCCTCCCTGTGGAAGAACCCTGGCGTCCTTGTCTTCGCAATCAGGTCACCAAAAGAAATATTTTTGTTTTTTCTCTTTGGACGACTTTAATTCTACACACCCCCTTTCCTAATCCAAATTTTTACTCTCTCCCCCCTCCTCCCCATTTCCCTCTTCTCCTCCTCCTCCTAAAAAATTACATAATTTTTTTGTAAACTTTATTTCCAAAATTAGGCTACATTCCGATAAAGCAAAGTAGCAAATGTACTACAAAAGGTTTTAGTTAGGGAGGGGTTCAGTTAGAGGAAACTACAATATTCTGAAGTTGGCCATGGACTTCCTGTCATGAGGGGATGTCATCCAGGTTACACAGGGTGGCCCACTTTTACAACTTCTTATTTTACGCTGCTTGCAAGTTTTTATTTTACTCTGCTCGCAGGTTTTGAGTTAAGTTTCCCATTTGTGTATCATGAACCTAAATGCTGAAAACTTGCAAAAATCTTTCAGAAAATTTCTTGAAAAAAAATTCATTTTATTTCATGCCAGTTTCCTGTTCGGTTGAAACTATGTTGTGGATTTATATGTTATGTATATAAAAATCCATCCTTATCAATAAATTCTGCTCAACAAATATAAATGGAAGAAATTAATTATGTTCTAAGCACAAAACTACGAATTTACTCACAATACTGTTTATGATATTCTTAATTTGATAAACACTCAGAAGTGTTAGCATCATGCAATTGAATTTTTCCATGACTGAAACTGCCAATAGCTTAAAATTATCAGAATAAAAATGTGCACTCTCAAATCTTATTTCACGAAAAAGAAACCAGTAACTGAAACAGCAACTCATAATTCAAATGTCATTTACAAACACCATACATCGAAGTCTTACAATATTTGACATTCAATTCCAAACTGCAACAACATGCTTACCAAGCCAATGCTGCCCACAATTTATAAAACAAAATCTGTGTCTGTACATAAAAAAAAATCAAATGGTCTTTTTTTGGCATGCCACACACATGCTTCATGGTTTCTTTATAGAGACCTCACACAGTTAACTGCATTCACAATCCAGTTCACATCAATCTTAAATTAAACTGACATCATAAAATAAGTTGACCATAAAATGTATATATGAAAAATATGATTTATGTGAACATTTATTTGGTTACGTCAGAGTACAGGACCCTTTAATAGTCCCACTGGGCCTTTGTATTCTTAATTAGACTTAAATCGACCAGCTCACATGGAGATGTCAAATCGGTCTCTTTTCTGTTCAAGTTAGGTTGGTTGTGAACACGTCTTCTCACGGCTTCATTAGTACAGCTGTTATTTCCATTGCGGAAAGCATGATTATGAATGAATGGATTGTGTGCATTAGGGAGGCCGTCACCTCACCTATGTTCACATCGTCACCTCGCCCATGTTAACATCGTGACTTGGGCATAATCAAAGCTAAATATGATCAGTTTCTGAATAAACTGAGTTCAATATCAGTGCATTGAACAATTTGCATTCTTGATATGTTATATGGTGGACTTGATGGTGCCAGTGTTCTGGTCTTGCTTTTTATAAATCAGAAAAAAATTATCCACAATAACAATGGGTTTTGAAAAAAAACTGACTATAAATCAAAACAGATATTGTTGTAACTCATTCATAAATCTTATTTTTTAAAAAAGTGATTCATTAATCTTGACAAGTAAAGAATGAAACAGTTCTAACCCAATCCTAGCAACAGATAAAATCAAGAATAATTTCATTTTTGGAAACACTGTGCAGCAATTGCTTCTCTAAAAAATGCCAATTTAGTCATATTTCCTAGCAAACTCAAGATGTAGAATCTTCACCAATCATCATACTGATAACCTCTGAGAAATAGAAATAAAATGCATCTTTGGTCCATTTACTTTTGTAATTTCTACTTTCTGCATACAGGGAGGCAATCTCAAAAAGAAATTTTAATAAAGCATAAAAAAAATGAAATAATTTTCACCCAATCCCCATATTAAAAGTACAGCCAAATGTGCTGACTCATCTTCCTTCCTTCTATTCTAGATTGTCAACTATTATATGAATTTTGGGCTCATTTTGAGCTCGAATTGACCTCCAAAAAGTTATGCTAATGGGAACCCTGTTCTCATTTTAGACATAATAGTAATCTTATACGGGACATTAAACCTGATGAACAAACACACGGAAATAATGTCTCAGTTTACAAATAAAATATAAATGACATTTCATGCCACTACAAAGTAACATTTATGAAGCCCACACAGTATAAGCAACATACATTAATAATCAAACAGTAACAAGGAAACAAAGTTCCTTAAAGCTGTTAAGACTTGAATACATTCATTTAATTACTGCCTTGACAATGAGCGCATGATGTTGCATTTTGAACAAAGATAGTTTAGTTTTAATTTCAAATAGAGCCTTAACTGACACACACACACAGAGAGAGAGAGAGAGAGAGAGAGAGAAAGAGAGAGAGAGATCCTCAATGTTATCTCTTCAAAAATACTGCAAAACCAAATTGAAAATTTCACTCTGAGATAATAGAGTTGAAATATTAAACTTAAAACCAGAGTGCCTAAAAGAGAAGATAAACAACTTGCTGGCAAGCGCTTTATTAAATTCTGCATGTGCTTGCTCTTTCTGATGGTTATTTCTTTGTTTTACAGTTATGTTTTCCATCACAAATATAAAATATTATCTAATGTCTGATAGCTATAGACTACATTCACACAAATGCCAACAAGGTGGGGGGGGCGGGAGTTTGGGCAATATACATAATTGAGTCGTCAGTCTGACAGTCTCTACAAGATGATCAGGCAGAGGTGGATGATAAGCAGTAATTAAGTGAAACAATTTGATCTTCAGCAATGAACAAAACCCCTGTTCTCATCTTTCCATTCATGGTGCATACATTAGATTTACACAGGTAAACAAGCTACTACATAGCCTGGTTATATAACCAAACATGGCCACAGAACCTCAACTCTTCTGTCATTTGACAATTTAGGAAGTTAATGTACTGTGGCAAATTAAGCTTTAAAAAAAGCTAGATTGGAACTAGGCCATGGGAGTGAACTGACTTCTACTACTTACACAACTCTTAAAATTACATTATTAAGATCATGCTTATCTTGTAGATGTTCATAAACAACATTGAGGAACTAGACAGGTTAGCTGGTAAATATACAGCCATTCAATGGAAAAAGTCATCCCCAAGTTAAAACAATCAGGCACATTTTAGTTAACAATAACTTTTGTAAATAAAAATAATCCAATCATGGTGTCTTTCACAGTGATTAGAATATCTACAAATACACAGTGTCTGTATATAAAAATTGTGTATTATCTGTAATGGACATACTTGAGTGAGGCTCTTTTGAAAATGTATTTAGAGCCAGATCAAATTTTTCTTACGCAATGAGAAGCAAATAGGTACCTATGTCTAAGACAGAAAATAAATCAATAAATCTTAAGTTGAAATTTTTTTTCACAATTGATTTATGGGCACAACAAAAGCAATTTTCATTATTATTTTAAAAAAGCGTGAAAAGTTTTTAAATACTCAAACATTTGAAATAGCATCCTTGGTAAGTCCCTTGGCCAAATCTGAATTTTTAATTCTGGAGTTGACCATTAAGCAGCATTGCCCAATTTCATGATTGTGTAAGATAGACTTTTTCTACACAAAATACGAAATGTTCTTTTTTTAGTCCACAAATGGCTGTAATTAAAAATGATCAAGAATAGCATTTGCCATTATCCTCTAGTCTTAGATTTCACTACCAGTTCTTAAATAGAGCAAATAACTTATTTAATCAAATCATTGTCTATCATTTAATAATAATTATAGTTATTATTATCATTTCTTATCATTATTATTACCTCTGTATAAAATTGTATGCCCAAGTGTGGGCCTAACTACATAACAGTTCTGCAAAAACCACCTGTTGCGTCCACCTGTATAAGCTAGGTAACCTATTCCTACTTAGGACATGACACAGTGACACACTTGATAGTACTTAGCGTCTTTACTAGTGCCAACATTTATGATTAGTCTCACTGTGATAATAGCTTTTTAGTATTCAGATGATAACCTGCACATTCTACATGGCCTTATTTCCAGGAATCATATTTCCAGGATCTGTCTATTTTAAAGAACAAAACAAATAGTTACAGGTTTTTTTATTATGGATTCAGGGGACAGCCAGACCAAATATAAAATAAAAACATACCCATCTTTTTACACATTCCCTTTATCTGTTTTATCTATTAATAATTCTATCTATTTATTATTGATCTAATTTAGCTTATATAAACTAAATTAGATAAATAAACAGATATAACTACAGTAAACTAAATATCTAAGACAAGTAATAATTCATCTCCTTGTATTCCCAGTCTGAAACAGTGACAACATCAGTTTCATTACAACATCGACATCAACAGTAACAAAACCAAAAACAGCAGTTTTACAGTAATAACATCAACAGTGACAACAGCAACATCAACAGTAAAAATACCAAACAAACAATCATTATAGTAACAACACCAACAACACTTTCACAGTTACAATAATACCAACACCAACAGTAACAACACCAACAACAGTCTCACAGTAACAACACCAACAGTGAGAACACTGGGGTAGCGCTAGCAATTTTTTTTCGTTTAGCCAAATCACCACTTTTTTGTCAATTTGTTTTCACAAATGGTAATAATTTGACTAAAAGAAGTCAAATCAAGCTCTTTTTGTTGAGCCAATTTAAGTCAATTTTAGCATTTGGCTAAATTGGCGAGTGTTAGCGCTACCCCAGCGACAGCAATCTCACCCGTCAACCACTTACCTGTTTGCACTGCTGTCAAACCTTGAGTCTTACTAGAGGGTATGGTCACTACAAATGCACTGCGTCTTACTGCAGGGTCACTGCTAATCCCCGGGGAGTCCGGCTTCCCATTGACACGTCCTCGCTCGGACATGTTCCTGGATCCTGAGGAGGAAAAAGACGAGAATATTGGTCTTTATATACATATCAGCATGAAGATTGTACCATGTGATGTTGGGAAAACAAAAACGAGAACATGATTCTGATTCAGCATCAGATCTGAATGTGCAAGTTGTGTCAGAAATATGACAGTATGGTTGCTATGTACAAAAATAAATAAAAAAACTTGGTTGGAAAAGACTTCAAAAAGAAGATTTTTGAGCACAATTCCTTTTTTTCTGAAGTAACCTATATATACTCACCCACCCCTCAGGTTTTCTCCTCAACTCAATTTAGAGAATTATTCAATACAAAAAAAAAAGTGGGTGGTTGCATTCCTCCATTTCCTGACACAAGTAGCACAAGAATATTTCAAATAAAGTGGGTTTCATTTAGCCTTCCAAATTGAAATTGCAATATCTAACCAAATGGAACAAGTCTAAGGGTATATCCCCAATGAAACTACTGTACTAGGTAGAACGATCCAACTCCACAAAGACTCTTGTCAAATGCAATTAGATTAAATGAATGACACACCTCCACAAGCAGCTAGGAAGTGATGAACTTTCACATTCGCTCGGCTCCTGGAAGCTTTTTCATTTAACTTTGAGTGCGACAGAAAATACATTACACAACCTAGGGCGATAGTTGCATTGGGAATGGATCCAAACACATTTTCCCACCCACCGGTAATTGCTGATACTGAGTTCAGTCATATGATGTACCTAATGGTGACAATGATTCAAAAGCATCATGATCCCCAGGAACCATATAGCTAACAAGCAGCTTGTGACTGAAAGTTTGTTTGAAGTGTCAGCACAAAATTTTGGGTCTAAATTTCAAATCAGGATAAAATCTGCAGTAGTCCACTCACATTGAGTAACTAGTGGTCTAAAAACAGGACCATTTTCTTTTTTGTAACTGAACAGGCACTTTTTAAAATTCATTACGAATATACTACTGACCTGGGTCAAAGTAGACTTAGACATCTAAGCCTCTTAACCCGAATGCAATTTAGCGAGAATCTCCTCAGAGATGGGTCGATCCTGCCAGATTGATCTAGGTATGGGAATGGGATCTTAAACATTGGACTCGAAGTTTAGATCAACAGGCTAATGATACTAAATTGAATGGTCATAAGTAGAATGTTAATGCACCTCAAAGTTTAGTAGCACTGCCCATTTTTTAATGCAAAAAAAAAAACAAGTATTTTCACAAAGCTTTATGTGCAAACTGCAGATTGACAATATATTCTACAAAGACTAAATATGGTAGAATCATTTCGGTTAAACCATGAAAATTCAGAAGTTGCAACTAATGAAATTGTTTTCATATAGGTATAACAAAAGAATCTAGAAAAAGGAAAAGAAAAATGAAAGGATGAAGGAAAGGATACATCAACCTTGTAAGATACAGTGACTTTACATCACATGCTTGTGGTACATCTGACATTTTACTTTCATAGCTTTTATATACAAACATTACTTATCGCTATGTAAATAAACAAATCATTAACTTAATTTTCTTATATATCTTTAAAGCTAGAGAAATATTTTTTAAATATTTTCAAATAATAAAAGAAAATACTAAATAAAGACATTTTACCATCAAACCCCTCTCCAAATCCTTTTCATTGCTAACACCACCTTTTGTGACCTGATAATCAGTGCTAATGTGGGCACACAAAAATGACTTGCATGTATTGTAAACAAGGCAACAGGTGTTACAAGTACTAACTCTGATTTACATGGCAGAATTAATTCTGGAAAACCCTGAGTGGGGGGGGGGGGGGGGGGGTAGCATGGATACACTTATGAGAGTACATTTGTGTAGTACATGTAAATGTTGTTTACTCCATATATATGCAACTGAGCTAGAGTAAATGGAAGGGGGGGGCAGAAGGCATTTATTCAATATAAATAGGTGGGTAAGTACACTAGAGAGAGAGAGAGAGAGAGAGAGAGAGAGTATTAAGGGATCATCCAACTCGTGAAAGTAAATAAGAACCAAAAGAGGAAAGAAGAAAGAGAGAGAAAGAGAGACTTACTGAGGACTCTTCCAACTCAAAAAAAGTGCAAGGAAAATTGAAGTACTAATAATGTACACAATTATCCAGACACACAGTTGTACTACAACACACGCACATGTATCCACCACAAATCCCTCTCAATGACCAACAATAACTTACTGTATAGCAGGTGCCTTGAACAAAACTATAAGTGAGCAACACTTGGTATCCTAGCACAACAGACTGTCTACTGTACACTGTACTACTAGTACGCTCACTAACCACGGCTTTTACTCCACTTAAACTGGTCACATGTTGTTTTTTAGAGGGGAAGTTTAATGGTACATTGTTAATTCGATGGGTGAGTCAATGGCCAGACATCCAGGGGCTTCCCCTCCAGTGCTGACAGATCTGCCGTCATCCATCAAAGGCGACATCAGGCCAGTTCACAGTCACGCAACCCCTACATATCTCCATATCTCGGCACTCTTCTTCACGATGACCTCAACGAGTGGATTAGGTTCACCAAAATTAATAATTTACGAGTATCTATTTATTTGCTGAGCATGCAGACATGGATGTCGAGTTTGGCAGAAATGGAAAGTTATGTCAATGATTACTTCAGATAAGTACATTTTGAAATAGACTTTGGTTAAGTGCCCATGAAAAAATTAAATAAAATTTTCTGCTCTATAAACAAAGATGTTACTGTATGTATAGTAGTGGTCTACAGACAAAATCACAAATATCTTTATAGTCGAGTTGGTCAAAAAACCTAACAGAATGCTGAAAAAATTCAAAAGGTATGAAAATTGTTATAATTTTGAAATAATTTTATAATATTTAAATGAGAAATAAATTTGGCCCACTGGTCACATCTTGGGTTTCATAATGAGACGTCTCAAAAAAGTACTTGAATTAAGATAATAAATTATTACTCACAGGGGAACTTCAACGAGTAGTCATCTACACAACCCATGTAACTTTTATTTTCAGTCAATTTAAATGATCATTCTCAATAGCAATGCTGGGGCAAAAAGTGAAATGGCACTTAAATCCAAAGTGTTATTTGGATTTGACCTTCCACTTTACAGAGCCCCTAGGGTACCATCCTTGGGGTACAGCCCCTAGGAGGCAAGCTCCGCAGCTACATATCTAGATCACACGACCAGAAATATGTACAAAACTTTCCACGTCTGTACTGGCAGCATAGAGGCCATTCAGAATGAGAAGATCTGAGTGCTAACTGGTCCATGGCCTAAATATGGCAGACCTACATGAAAGGAAGACCGTTTAATCCTGTAATGGTCTCTACGCCTCTTTCACGCCTCCCCACGCATCGTCCCTGCAGGGGCACAGTAATTGAATCTCGGCTCAAAATCGATCGGTCATGGGACAATGCGTGGGGAGGCGTGTGAGGGGCGGAGAGACCATTACAGGATTAAGCAGTCTTCCTTTCATGTAGGTCTGCCATATTAAGGCCATGGACCAGTTAGCACTCGAATCTTCTCATTCTGAATGGTCCCATAGTCTCACTTTTTTTGGGTTTTTTTTTTTTTCTTTTTCTTTAATAACTCTTATAACAGCATGCATAAGACAATAAAATGAATCAAATCATTATTCTGATGAAAATGTCTTCTGGGGTAAGAATACTTTTAGTATCTATTACAGGTAAATAAGCCTGATGAACTTCCTCAAAATGAGGTCTATGAGACAAAGTTTTATGAGTCTCGTATCTTAACTATTATTTCCTATATATGTTACTCCAAGGGGTCATAAAATACGGCTGTTAAATGATACAATGCATTGTATGCTAATCTTCGTATTATGCCGCACAGACCTCAAAATTACTCATCATAGTCTTGTAGCACCTGAAATTGGTGTGCACGTTTGATGATATTTCTCTAATGGCTTTTCTTGTGGTTTTCATTTCAGGTGCCTGTTTTCTGTACTTTATGTTGATTGGCTCTTTTTTGTTGTTATTTCTTTTTGACTTCTATTAATTATATGGTTTTCAACATATGAAATAAAATAGACTGTTCTGTCATGTAAAACACATCTAGCATAGTTGAATTACTTTAAGTGCTCCCTGTTATGCAATAAAAATAGTTTAACACAAATATCCAAATCATGAACCATTTTGGTCTGACTGCACTATTAATGGCTCTATAGGTGTATTCAGACAAAGGGATAAATCGGTCTAAGTTTAGGCTCAGATGATGACTCTATAGTATAGTATAGTATAGAGTCATCATCTGAGCCTAAACTTAGACCGATTTATCCCTTTGTTATAATAGGCCGCAGGCGCATTCAGACAAGGAATGAATCAGTCCAAGTTTAGAACCAGATGATAACTGATGTCAATCTGACCAAACTGATTTATCACTGATGCAGGAGACTGCAATCCAGCAGGAGCTCACCATCCCATATATAAAACATCTGAGAAATCAGACTGGATTTGGATCTGTCAGAAAAAAAATAAACGAAGAAATGTCACGGTGGTTTTACAACTGGGGTCCCTGGACCACATGAGAAGAAAAAATGCAAAGAAAAAAATCACTGTGTTCAGTCAATTCAAAGAACCAGCAACAGTTCTAAGAGCTGCCATTTTAAATTTACAATCAGTCTGATAAAAATGACCTTTAGTCCAGCAAATTTTTTTGTGATAGCCAGTCCAAATGTCCATCTGTTTTTTTTTTTTTTCTTTTTTTTTTTTATATATATTTTCAGTATGTTTATCTTGCTGCCTGAATATACTAAACCATAAACATATTAAACTCACATGACATATTTCAAGAATGAATGAGTCAACAGAATGACAAAAAAATCCCCTCTTTGATAAAATGTATTTATCAACCACGCAATCTATTTTGAAGTACTTAAGCAAATCTATAATATTCACTATTGAGTGACAACAAATATCTGATACTTAAGGCTCATCCCCAATAAAATTATCGTTCTACATACATCGATTCAACCCCGTTGGGACTCTCGCTGAATACAATCAGATTAACAAATTAAAACGCCTCCTCCTGGCATTGAGTAGAATACAGAAAATATGGTGATTACACAAGCACATTGGAAAGAAGAGGAGGTGTGTCAATCAGCTAGACTTATTGCAATCAGTGAGGGTTTCCACAGAGTTGGATCGATCTACATAGACCAATAGTTTCATTGGGAATGTGCCCTAAGGCTTAAATTGATGCAATACTTTTTAGGATGTAATCAACATACCATACATTTGGATGAAGAACTAAAGCATGATAGGGCAATTTTATAGTTGATAAGTTCTTACTAATCCTTATCTATTCCAGTATCTTGTTCTTACAGTTTATATTTGGTTATAATTTTTATTTCGAAATGTTCAGTTTTAAGGGTACAAAATCGAATTCACAAGCATTTTAATTTCAATTGCCATTGGTAGAAACCCAGTTTCTAAATGTCATGTATATAATTCACATTTTTTCACAATAATTGTATAAATGTAGCTTCATATCTTGCTCAGGCATTAATTAACTCAACCTGCCAGTAACAGTACCACAAGCTGGATGCTCAGTGCATAACCTCGTTCCTTTTATAATCATAATCTATATTTGATAATCTTTGGATGAGAGCTGCTACTACAAATTGTAGTTAATGTGTAATTCATCGTAATGTCTACACCCAAACAAGACATTCTTCCAGCTGTTACACAAGGAAGGAATGTTGTGCGGCATTGAATTCAACACAGTCACCCGCATACTTTAAACGCTTTGGTCTTTACTACAAAATTCTTTGCTCAGTTTTCAGACACAGGCCAAAAACTGAGTTATAACTGTTGTGCTGCTTTTTTTCCCAATGTAATCATGGCATTCTTCAAGGCCTTTTGTCCTTACTGTTCAATTTGTTTCAAATTAATTTTTGATTGCAGTACTTTTCTTACTTAGCTTTCAAACACAGAAAAAAAGGAGTATAAACAAAATGAAAGATCATCAAAGTAAGTCAGTAATTGGCTTTAATGTCTGAGTATGACCTTTATGACAACCACATTTCCTCAAAGATGGTTAATTGTCTTGACTAGGTTTTTGTGTCAAACAGTTCAAATGACGCAATCAATCCAAACCAATAAGTTTTTAAGTGATTTTTTTCTTGGTCTAAAAATTTAGAAGAAACATTAATTCCAAGCAACAGTAGTTTCATCTTGTGTCAACCATTTTGACAGTGCCATCCAGCAAAAGGAGGTATGTATTGACCCTTCCGGATATGACATCACAATCATGCAATCATGTGACCAACGGTGTGAATGTTTCAGCTTCCATTGTCTATTAGCACTGGCAGGTACAGTAATGACTAGATCTTTTCAATGGAGAAAATTATCAATTTTTCTGAAACATAATTTTGGAATCATGTAAAATATTTTCTATATATAGATATAAAGCATTTGTGGTGCTTTTTTTTCTGTCTAGAATAGAACTATCAGGTAGCCTGCTTATCAATTCTGTAGCAACCACAATAGGAATGTTCAGGAACTGGTGACTTAAAAAATATACTGTATCTGTCAAATTCACGATTTTCCCCATTGAAAAGATTGAGTCATTACCATAAAGAAAATGCTTCCAGCATCTGGGTGAAAATAATAATATAAATGTTTTAAGCGTAAATTATAGAGCTGTACATATATTTTAAATATTCAAAAATATTGAACTTCTACATTCAGCTGATAAAAAATGTGTTAAGTGAAGAATTACATTGAAAAAAAGCACTGTGTTATGGCTGGGATAAGCTGAATGCTTGCTTGGAAAGTTTTTCAAGTTCTGCAAACTTTTTTTGACTAAATCAGATATTAACACAATCCGATGGAATCCCTGTCACTTTGGTTTATGCATATATTCACTTCTGAAAACCTTCTACATGTTGGGATCCCATTCCCATTTTCATTGCAAACAAGCTTAAATGGTAAGTGGTGGCCGCAATCCCAACATCTTCAAAGTTTGAGGCCTCCATGGCTGCACTTCTCTACCCAAAAAGGTCCATAAAAAGTTTCAACTGGAACATGATTTCAGTGCACATCTAAATGAGCCCTTGCAAATCATAAAAGTCCAGTTACTGCATCAAAGAAGGCTCAAATGTTGCAGCTGAGCAATGGATACATGTGACACTAGGTTCTATTAACAGTTGGATAAATGACAACATGTTGATTTATGTGCAGCTGGTGTTTGCCTTATTTTAAGGTCACAAGGCCTTTGGTGGAAAAAATGGTTTACACTGCAGTTGGGCAGATCTAGCCCAGAGGTTTTACATTGGTGTATTACTTTTAACTTAAATGTTTTTTATCTAATATCAGAAAGAATATGCTTCATTGCAATTCATCTTTTGAAATCCTGCTGTGTGAATACTCATTATGTTGACCTGTTAAAAACTACATGTACTAAGTACACTTAGATCCCATTCCCAGAGATTAGATCACTCCAACTAGATCGACCTAACTCCCTGGGGGTTAACGCTTAATAGCTGTCAGCCGAGCGGGCA